TTGTGTTAACGTCAGACCAAAAAACAAAAAATGTGGTTTACCAAAGAGCACTTCAATGAAACGGATAATTTGCGGATTCACGTTCATTTATTTAGGAAAGTTTAACTAAAAAACACTTCATTTTTGTAATCAAAATAAATTCATTACTGTTGTGTAATAAAATCAAATTTTTTCTTTTCAAATATAAAACAAACGACAAATTTCTTCATCTTTCTCATGAAACCATTTGGTGGCGAAACGGAGTTCGTCGGGTTTGCTAGTAGAATAAAACAAAAACTATTTTATTATTTAAATATATATTTGTACTGATTTTGATTCGGTTCAGAAGCTTCATATTGTCATCGATTGATTATGAAAACAAATTATAGAAATTCTAAGTGAGACCGCCCAAAGATTTTAAACTCTCGGAAAATTAACTCGCGTAATGTGGGACGCGAGTGTATTGGCCCGCCTTTCACTCGGTCAACGCATGCGCCTTGAGCGTGACTTGGGTTGCCGTATACGTAAGGAGCAATTGATATAAAGATAAACTGGACGTGCCTGACATTGAGCCTGAAGGCGAAATGCTGGTACTTGAAAATTTGAAGAAAATGTAAAAACTAGTGGTGCATCGTGCATGGCATCGTGCCTTAAGGCAAATTGCTGAAACATACCGTATTACAATTTTTAAAAACTTATTTTTTATTGAATACTTAGAAATAATTTTATTTTTGAGAATTTAGACAAAAAAAATTGACTACTTTAAAAAATTAGTTTTTTTTTATTTACAAATTTTTTAAAAATTTTGAATTTTTTTTACAGCTTATTTTTCAAAATTAATTTTAGAGACAAAACATTTAAGCGCTTAATCGCCGCATCGCAGTCTAACGGTTAAACATTGAAAATCTTGGTACCTACAGAAATGAAAACAAAATTTGTACTTATTAAAATCTCTATAAAATATCTGATAATTCGATACGCAAATGTCTAATGATCATTTTTGACCGTCAAATAGCATTTATTTTTACTTTTTTTATTGGATCTCAGAAACCGTTGGACCTGCTTTCCAAAAATTTAACGAAATCTTCATCTTGTCCATACAAGTAAATTGTTTTTTGAATAATCCAGATCGGATGCTCCATTCCCTCACGAATTGAACTACCATTTTTGAGCCGTATCATCGAAACGGCAGGACCTGCCTTTGCCAAAACGAATGAGCACGTCATTCCTTATCAATAGGAATCGAAGGTTTTTAGAATCATTCAAATCGGTAGATCCGTGCTCTCGAAATCGTCGATGAAAATTTGTATCCGCACACACATACATCAATTTTTTGTAGGGTATGCCAATGTTCAGAAGGCTTTGACACGTAAAGATGTATAAAAATTTTCATTTTTGATTTTTATGCGATTACTATAATCTACCCAGCGGGATGTTAGAGTTTGTTTATATTTTTCGAAGAATTTGAATTTAATTTATGTCATTTAGAATATTTTGAACATTAGAAAAATGATTAAAAAAATCATGGATTTGACTAATTGTAAAATAATTTACATTTTTTAAAAAGTTTTGTGACAATATTTCAGAATATCTATCTATACATTATTATTAAATGTTAAAAGCCAGCACAAAAATATTTCAAATGATGTTTATATAGGAAAATATTGCATAACAAACCACCATGTATATATGTATATATATATACTATATAATCGATTATGTGCTTTACTGATATAATTGAAAAATATTGATGTATGTTTGCATTGGTACACAATAAATAAATTCAATTCCCTTCAATTATCGAAATTGCATTTCAGGATATTCTGATTATTTTGGTATGTGTATAGGCTAACACGTTTTTGAAAAATGAAACAAGTTGAAAGCTTTAAAAAAAAATAGGAAATGTGTGCAAAATTACCAATATGTGGTCAAATATAAAAATTTTGCTCAAGCACATATTACCAATTTTTTTTTTATAGAAATTTCACCAATATGCATAAATCTGTTAATAATGTTTTATTTAATACTTAATTCTGGGTAATTTGAATAATACATTACTATATTCTTTCGATTTTCATCTTTGTATTTTAATTCTATATTATTAATTACCGTTGCAAACTTTTTAAGATGACGGTTGATTTTTCAATATGATAGAATAATTGTTATTGTTTATTAAATCGATTTCTTGTTCGTCTCATAAACTGATGTGCAAAAAGTATATTAGCAAATAGCATAAAAATGGAATAAATATTTTTACGTTACGGTTACTATAAAGTGGAAAATTAACTTAAATTTAGGTGGTCAATCTGCATGGTTTTGTGACGTTATTGTTGGTCAGTATATCTATTATTAGAACTAAACCGAATCTATTTCCACTATAATAACCAGTATGTTACTTTGATCATACCGCATTATTAACTAATTGGTTATCACAACTAATATAATCCCCAACGTTCTCGTGGATTACTCTGTAGATCATTAAAAGTATATTTTATTAAATGTATGGTATTCTCTATGTATTTGCTAAATATGAAGTTTTTTGCAAAAATAGGATATTAAAATATGAAAAATTTATTAACACTTCAATGATAAAAAAATATTTTTGTAAGGTCTTATACGAACAAAAATTATATTGATTGGTGTATGTTACAATAAATGCAAAAAGCAAAAGATAAATAAATACTAAAAATTTAACTTAAAACTTTAGCAAGCAATAATTGAGCTTTGAAAAGGAAGTTTGCAGAGATGACAGTCGAACAAATTAATATTTCGTATTTTTTTTCCAAAAACCATGCACACTATTTGTATGATATCTTTATGCAGTTTCATTTCTGTGTGCGCGGCAGGTGATTATGTTTTGGTGCAGAATGATATATGTAGGTCACTGGAGCTGCATTGATCCTTCCCGAAGACTTGCTTCTATGACGCGCATGTGCATCGTACAACAAATTAGAGTCGATGCCGGAGTACTAGAGTATGCAAATATTACGTATCGCCGCAAAATTTTCAATAGATAATATTTATGCAGATTTAAGATATTTCAAGAAACACTGCATTCATTATAAAATAATAATGCAATAATATTTTTTGATTAAAAAACGATATTATCTACTTGCGAAGCAAAATTTGTACTTCATACTCGTTCTGCAGGAAGTGACCCAAAAATGATCAAGAATAGTATTTTCAGAGATGATCACAATCGTATCAATCGTAAATTAATAGGTTGTTAAACGTTATACATTACTTTTTTATCGGTTATGGTTTATAAAAGACATTACATAAATTATTAATTTCATATATATTCTGGAATGAATTTTATATAACATTGTACTTTTATCAAACACTTGATGTTATTACCTAACTGCTAATATATATCGCCTATCATTTATTACTTATGTATATAAGCGTAGCCAGGTTTTTGATAGAAGGGTGGTCAACCAAAGTAAACACTACTAACACTTCAACAAATTTCAATTAAGACGAAAATTTTCACTTATCTCCTTCGAATAGAAATGGGAGGAACGATTCCTAACTTCAACCCCTCCTGGCTACGCCCATGGCCATGGGCTTATACACTCGCGATCTGTTCTTGCTAGTAAAGTTTCAGTTTATTTGAGTTGCGAAATTACATTCATATGTTTACAAACCTATCAATTTCATTTGATGTTTTAGTAAGCCCACATTTTTAACTATTCGGTACGAGCGACAAGTATACTTGACGGCCATAGAATGCCATACACAGCCGGGCGTCGTGTTTAGTGGACGGCTGTAATATGAACGCTCAATATACGGACGTTGTATGCCGGCTGTGAGCGATATTTTGCGACCAATAGGCACCGTACCGAAGTGTTTAAAACAAAATCAATTCACATTTTAGAGTCACACATACTGAATTATTATGACATAATATGGAAATGATTTAAAATTCAAAATAAAAATTACAAATTTAATTTTCGACATAGATTTTATTACTTTTCTGTTTTTCTATCTTGCATACAAATTAATAGAGCTATTCTTGGAAATACAAGGACGCATTTTGACCTGCGATCTTTGCACAAAGTTACACATACATAAAAAAGTGATATAAAAAGCTTGTGCTTTGTTGGTTACTTCACAAATTTTGGAAGCAATTTGCAAGAATAAAATATAAAACTAAAGTATTGTCACTTTTATTTATATTTTTTCATGTAATGAAAAAATCTTAAAATTTAAATTCATGCATAAGCTGCATATATTTTAAAGAAATTGTTATTCCTCATGATATGAATTATGTAAATTTACTCATTAATATTATTGTAGTCATATTATAAGTATTACTAATAAATTTTAATGATTAATATGTCCACCTGCACACTATGATCTGTTCACAACCACATATTACTTTTAAGTTGTGAAAAAAAACACGCAAGTTATAAAACAAAATTTATAATATGAACTTGTCAGTTGTAGTTTAAATTGTATAAAATATTTAGAAATATTGTTTAGTCCTATGCATGAATTATAAACAAGTTGTTGCTCGTCTACTGGATAATCACAAAGAGAGAATTACCTGTATTCGTATGTATTTCAGAAAGAAATTCAAATTTTGTTCATGCAATATACCGGGTAATCAAAACAAATCTCGCAATCAAACATATATTTAAGATGTAAATTATGGAATTACTTGTTCTGATTGCCATTCAATGAATTAAAACGGCACAACGTCTTCTTACAGTAGTTCAAAACTTATATTTCACTCAGCACATATAAATATAAAACTTTCCAAAAGGATTGAATATTCATGTAAGCTCGCTAATTGACTTGATATCGTGTTCTTTGCGGATGGGTGTAAAATTCTAGAACATTAATTATAAAGTTGATCAAACCCAGTTCTCGATGCCAAGAGCTTTTTTGTTGGATGTAACGATTACATAGGTCGTGTGTACACTTCGAAAATTCCAGCGATTGTAGTAAAAGCATTTTAGATCGCATTTACGGCTTTCTCAAGTATGTATTACAATGAGTGTTCCTTTATCTTTCAGGCAATGATGGAAGCGCCGAGCCTGTCTAGAACGCCGTCACCGTCCCAGGAGTACGACGTGACGCGGATGCGGGAATCGGACTTCGAGCGGTTGGCGGTTTATTTGGTACCCGACGTGCCGTGCGAGCGCGGCGTGACAGGCAGGGCGGAACGCACGCTGCCGCGCAGTCTGTCGCTCAGGCCGAGCGTCGTGCTGTCCACGCCTAATATACCGGTAATAATCACTTATCTAAAGAAAAAAACATGGGGAGACTTGGGTACGGTTGTGCCAGCTAAACTATACTGATTTTTTGATAGCTTCCAAAGGGAAAGAAAATTGAAGTATGTTTGTTCGAACAAGTTTCCGTTATCGCATTGAGTCATCGCCCTACATTACCATGATTTGTAGACCGCTTTTAAATAGTCGAGTTTTTTTGTTCGATTTCTTTTAAATAGCTGTTACTTGTATACAGATAGATAAATTTGTTTGTTATTATGCTGCAAGTTGAATGTTAGTTATTTATCAGCAATTAGTTTTGTTTTATGTGACATGTATTTTTTATACTGAGATAAAAAACGAAAGAGAAAGGAAAAGGAAAATTCAATATAAGAAGAAAAAATCAAAGATTTTTTGTTCAAAAAATTGTGTATAGTTACATATTTTATATTATATACATAAGCTTTGTTTAAATGATTATGTTGTGTTGTGTTACATATTTCTGACATCAAAAGTCGTTATAAACCATATTGGTGTTTATAATTATTGTTTTTTAACATAATTTTATGCCTGTCACAACCGTCCTGAGGGTGTAAACGGTTGTGCCACTCGCACTTTTCCTATATGATATGATTTTATGGCTAATCGTATTTAAAGACAGTATTTCACTATTTTCACGTAGGCAAATCTTCAAATAACCATCTAATTTACTTTTCCAGCGAACCGATAAATTGACAAAATTATAACTGATCAAAAAAAGTAGTACAACCGCGCCCTGTCTCCCTTGCTACCAATTTTGATTCATTTTATGTAACTTCTATGTGTGGCTGATTTATAATATACGACTACCAGCAAGATTCATGATCATACTTACTATACAAGTTTAACTTTTCAAAATATTCAAATATTTTAATTTTATTTGTTATCTTGAATTGTTTATTACGAATTATCATTCATAAACAATACGTATTATCTTCAAATTTTTACCCCATGTAGTTCATAACTATTAAAACAGGAATATCCTCGAATTCGAGATTAGAATATATTCCTCGCGATTAAGATTTCAAAATTGTAATTATGTCATTGTTAGCTTACAATTATAAAAAAATTGTCGCATTTTTATTTGTAACATTAATATCCCATTTTATCCGCACGTGTACTCGATGAATAAAAGGTACTCAAAAATTATGTATCTGTTTCTCTTATAAATTCTCTAATATGTTCCCAATAATATACCTAAAAATATACTGATTACTTTATCTGTCAATCTTAAGAACATTATATGTATATATATTTATTTCATAGTTAATTCTTATTCTTTTTTATTTAGACTGAAGGAGTGTGGAGTACGGGCGTGATACCCAGGGGTACGAGATTTGGGCCATTCGAAGGAGTACGAACACCTGACTCACCAAATGACAAGATATCGTGGAGGTACTTCTGGAGGGTAAGTTTTAATATATTAAAACTCAATAACAATTAACCAAACTGACACTGTAATTTCTTGGGAATAAGAAATATGCATGTATTTATAGTGAACGGTCACTCATAAAATCAATAACTATTATATAAATTTCGCTTGTATTAGTGCGATTGTAAGTAGAAAACAATTTTGCTATTATCTGGACATAAATAAATTTATAATACGATACATATAAAAAAGTTTAAAGTTGTATCAATTAATTATTGATTAATTCCATTCAATTTCAATATATAATATATTTAGTCGTTTTAAAATCGAAAAAATGAAACTATAACTAGATTTCAGTTGACGGCTTTTGATATATAAGCTTATTGAAAAAATGATTGTTATATTTATCATTTTAAATAAATTATATTTATTATAATTTCATGCATAATGTACATAATATATTCCCATAAGTATTTTCAAAATTCATCATATACACTCCATTTTTTCGAAAATTTAATAAATAAATCTATATTTATATGTATTCACTAAGAACATTCTATTTCTGTAAAAATCTAAAAAAAGTTCTTAATTTCTACTAATATATAAAAATGAATTTACACTCAAATCAATAGTCGATTTATGGTTACTGACGTAGAACATAAATTCCAAGTATTATTATTGTACATAAAATGCTCATCTGAAAATTCATTAACCAAATACTAGAATTTTATCTTTTATGATGAAAATTCTTTGAAGTTGATTTTATTGGTTCAACTAGTAAATTCGCTATTGCTTGACATTCTTTCTCACTAACAAAGTTTTGATGGTGGCTTTCTGTTTCTTTCATGGTGGCAGGTGCAAGAAGTCATGCGGCATCGTAGCTATGGTAATATTAAGGTGAGATGAGACTTTTTTTTAAATATAAGTAATAAATAATAGTATCATAAATCAACTCTATTGTAAGCTTATATTATGCATATGATATTTATGAAGCGATATGTAAAATTTCAATATTGTTACGACCTCTTTTTTTATATCATTTTTATCTTCTTCGTCAAAGCTTGTACATTAATTCTGTAGATATTCGAACATATTTGAGTAAACAGTTGCACTCAATAAATAACATCTAAATATGTATATGTTTTATTGATGTTTATGATTATTCCATATACAACTTACTGCAGAACCAATGAATTTTGTCTATATATGACTTTTTCTACTTGCAGATATTTAATGATGCAGATTATTACTATTTGGATGGATCTGATACCTCGCAAGCGAATTGGATGCGTTACGTTGCTTCAGCTTATAGTTTTTCTGTTATGAATTTGGTGGCATGTCAACATCAGGTTAGATCAGAATAAATGAACAGTTAATTAATGAGTTATAAAAAAAAACAAGTTATAAATTTATACTTTCGAATATTTTCAGGAGCATATTTATTTTTACACAATTCGTGAAATTATGCCTAATGAAGAATTAATGGTTTGGTACTGCAGAGATTTTGCGAAAAGGCTAGGATACGACATTGATCCTGAAAGGGCAACGTATTCAATCTGTGAGTATATATTTATTTTGATCTTTGATTTGTCGATTCTTTTTAAAGAGATATTTGAAAAATACCATAACTGATCAGTTTTTTTAAATTATTTGTAATTATATTGAATATAATGTATTGTTTTTGTTATAAATATCACGTTAATAAATCGGTAGGCAAAGAAGAAACAATTAAAAAGGCCTACGGCATACCGCAAACACCAGTCCACCCTGAGATAGCGTACAATCATATGAAATATGTCATGGGCCTGCATTACCCACCTAAAGAAGTTATCCGAAGAAGTCCAACGCCGCCGTATCGTAACGCCGACCCACGGGTGAAGCGCGAAATGTTAGCAGAGCAACAGCGACTTAGGCAAAGACAGCCAAGCCCACCAACTATGCACATACGAGAAACATCACCGCACGCAGTAAATAATAATCAAGATACTCTAACCCAACATGAAGCGAATGCTGTACCACAACACCAGGATATGAGATCGCCCAAGCAACTGTATCACAAACCCGTCGGCGGCGTTTCTCCCAAAGACGACTCAACGAATAAAGACTCTACGCAATATGAACATCAGCTTACTCCTAATGATGGTTCCGTAAGGAGCGATGAAGGCTACCACAGCAATGGATATCATGATGACGCATTCACGCCTCCAGAAGATTCTAGTGATAGTGATAGTGAAAATAATTACGTGCTAGATTGCTCTAAAAAATCCCAACAGCCCGAAGAAACAGTACTACCGCAAAGAACAGATATGCAAGACGTAAATAATGAATATCGAAAAGTCAAAATTAAAATGCCTCTAAAGTATCACTATAAAAATACAAAAGGACTAGATATTGAATCGTCGGAAAAAGAATTAGAAATGGATGGGAAATCACCACATACAATAGTTTCTCCGCCAAGTAGTACAGTCATTATGGTGGATAATTCTCAAAACCAAACTGTCACTAAAATGTACTATGAGGCGGAGGCTCCGCACACGCCACCACCAGCGGCTTTCATGCGCTACTCCCCTCAAGGTTCAAGTATCCTAGAGACTATACTGACTGCAAGTAGGTCTCACGGGACACCGCCTCCACCCAGTTCACCCACGGAAATGGCATATTCGTATAAGAAATCGCAAAGGTATGGAGCAGCATGTAGTCCTGACTCAAGTTCTAGTTTACTGGGTCCACCTCCACCTCATGCGGTAGTTACAAGAAGTTCTCCTCAACCGCCGGCATTGGTTTATGCCACGCCACCTCAATTGGCCCCGTTGCACTATGAAGGTCAACATAGCCCGGGTTACCCATACGGATTATATTCACCTCCAAGTAGTAGTAGCAGTGGAAATGTGATTCATCAGAATACAAGCCCTGGTTATTCACCACCACATGGATATCAGTTGCTAACACCTCTGAAAGCTCCAGGATCTCCACCAGACAGTATGTGCATGGATCAAGGTGGTCCTCACAGTCCCAATTCTCAGGGCTCAAGGGGTTACCGTAGCCTACCTTACCCATTGAAAAAGAAAGATGGCAAAATGCACTATGAGTGCAATGTATGCTGCAAAACTTTTGGTCAATTATCGAACCTTAAGGTGCATCTGAGGACGCATAGCGGAGAACGACCTTTTAAATGTAACGTTTGTACGAAATCCTTTACTCAATTGGCTCACCTTCAGAAACACCACCTGGTACATACCGGCGAAAAACCGCATCAGTGTGATATTTGCAAAAAACGATTCTCTTCCACGTCCAATCTCAAAACCCATCTGCGATTGCATAGCGGTCAGAAACCATACGCATGTGATCTATGCCCTCAGAAGTTCACGCAATTTGTACACTTAAAACTGCACAAGCGATTGCACACGAACGATAGGCCTTACGTTTGCCAAGGTTGCGACAAGAAATACATAAGCGCTTCAGGTCTGCGCACGCATTGGAAGACAACGAGCTGCAAACCGAATAATATAGAAGAAGAACTGGCGCTCGCTGCCGCCGCTACTTCGGAGTATCTAGGGGAGATGCACGACGATAGAGATCAAAGGCTTGGTCACTTCGACGTTGGACGGGCATACGTTCCAGTGCCAGTGGAAAGCGATTCGCATATGGATCAAATATCTCAACACATTCAATCCCACATTCGTAACATGGCACCTCCTCTAGAACTGCTTCGAGAAGTTCCGCCTTCAAACAAATTAGAATCAGTTCACCACTCGAACCCATACGCCCAACAGGAGAACACCAGGCCGACAGTTATTGAATCTAATCAACCCCTGATCATCGAGTGCACATAACTTTTTATGTAAGTGATGCTTATAAAAATAGACATGTAATAAGTTACACCAAAAATGAACATCATATACCAAATATTATTCATTGCTTAATCGTAATTGCATCAAATTTGAACGTTGTCATCGATCTAGGCGCTGAATCATTAGGATGTAGAAGCAATTTGTAATATTGTCGTTTATAGATTGGATCTATTATGTACCTATTTATTACTAATCACTTTTGTATATAAATAAGATAAATTTGAAAGATTATGCGTATACGCACGTACATACACGATGTGAACTGTCTATATTCTAATTAATATCATATATTCCATGTGTATGAGTATGCGGGTGAATTTAAATTTAAGGTTAATTGCGCTAAGTACTTAGTATCTAAATAATAAGTTCGTAAGAAACTTCAGAACTGCAAATAATTAATCATTAGACGTAAAATACTAAGTTAAATTTCTAAATTTTATTTGTACATAATGTATGGTTTGTGAAAATGTACGGTTGTTCTTGTTACGCTGATTGGTTATAGTTTAATTAAGTGGGTACTGATTCAATTAGATATATTTATGTTTGTACAAATGATTATTTCATATATTATTTAATTTAATAATATACAATATACGAAGAAGCATATTAATTTATTTTATAATTTATATATAGGATATTTAGAGGGAATTTGAATAGATTTATGTAATATATGACATAATTAAAGCTGAAATCGGTGCTTGACTTGTAAAGTAAATTACATTTAAATAATATATCGCAAAAGTAAAATATACAGAACACTCGTTTTTAAGATATAGGGATATATCGTATATCACAACAACATACAAGATATATATATATATATATATATATATATTTGATTGTATGTATGTTCATGCATATGTGTGACTATTTATATATAAATGTTGCCAAATTTTATTAAATATGTTTTAGAGACTTGCCAATTTATTTTAAATTTGTCACTTTATAAAATAGAAACAGGCTCTTTGTTCGCTTTATAAAAAACCGCATACATAATGAATTTACAATTATAATTACATATTTTATTTTTAATTAAATAGAATTACATGTTTGATACAGTTTACATCTGGGCATGTCTTTTAGAAAAATGTTTACATTTTAGATTTGACCTGAAACTATCAATATAATAAAAATTATCTTAGCTACTAAATTTGGATTTAAAATCTATGAATAACAGTTATATAGTAATAAAAGTACATTTTTAATATTTTAACTATTAAAATTTAGAAGGTAAAAGTTAAAGAAATTTATGAAAAAAATATTTGATCGCCCACCGAAGAATGATTGTAATTAATTTGCATTTGCACACAGGCATTACAGTTCAGATTTTCTGATTAAAATAGATAACTGTGCGATTGTTTTAAGTAAATATCGCAATGAATTACTGAAGTCTTATTCATTATGTTATTATTTAATATGAAGATTATTTCATTCGTATTATACCACTGCTACTCAACATGAACTATTTTGGTGAAATGTTTCTTTTACAATTAGCAATAATGTAATGGTAGTTGATACTCAGTTATTATTTAACATAAAACATATTATATTAGATATTGTTATCAGTGCTTCTGACAAAGAAACTTCAAAGTCTGTGAAAATTATTGAAACATTTTTCATAGGCAGTTTACATAAAACAGAAAATGTTATTTATTTATTATACATAAATTGTTATTATGCGCGATATGCATTCTTGTTTGATATGAATTGGCTAGATGATGTGTGATCTTGTAAATATATATTTTTGAAAACTAAATTGTTCTTTTAAGTGATTTTTATGTGAATTGCCTTTTATATGTGATTTAAATATTAAAAAGTTTCTTAAAAAACTTGAAACATGTTACAGAACAACAGCAATGCTAAACCTAGAGTTCACAGAACATTTACACACTCAATTGCATTTTGTTCTTTACTTAAATTGAGAACATATATTTATACTTACAATTAGTACAATATTTCACATTTTGTTCTAGAGATGTTGCTTGTAAAGCATTTTACAAGAAAAAAATCCAAATAAGGCCTTGGTTTTGAACAAAATTTTACTCAATTTTACAGCTTACATTGACAACTTATGTGAAGATTATAAAATATTTCTGTATTCCACATTTTTTCAACAAATTAATAATTTTGCTAACAATAAGCACTTGAACATTAAAGTCAGTTTCTCCAAACCATTAACTATTCATAATTTACAACTATATTTGGGAACTGTAGGTTGGGCACTTCTGCACTTGAAATTAGAATTACATATAATTAGATTATCAATACAAAACTGAAAAACAGATTGTTCACGCAAATTTTAAATGGCGGCTTTTAAATATATTTACACATATATGATATTAAAATAATTAAACATTAAATGAATTAAAAGATGTTCCAATTTTTTATGACTATTATTGGGGGTATACCGACGACGAATATATTCGTATCACTACGATATCGTCAATTGCACTAAAAAAATAAAAAAAAAATCAATGTACAATTATAAGAATACAAAAATATAACTAAATATTAACTTATATTGGACATGAATATCGTTCAATACTCAATACATCAATATTCAGTTTAGTTATTGGCATTCATTTTATTTATAATGTGCGTATTATTGTAAGATCAGATATACATAAAAAATTTACAAATATAAAAAATCTGAGTTGCAAATGATAGTATGCTTTTCTACAAGTGCCTAAAATATTCATTAACGCATTGCAACAACATTTAATAATTGTTTAGCGATACATTCAAATAATTTCTAAATTTCGTTTTGGAAGTGCAATTAAAAACATTTTTGGAGAATACTCCACTAGAAGTAGATCATAATCAATCAAAATTCAAAATTGGTCCTTTAATTATAGAAGTAAAGATCTTTTAATTCGTAAATTTTAATACAAGTTAATTAGATACAAAAAGTTTTTGATATTATTCCCGGGATAACCTCCATTTTTATATATGTAAGCTTAAGCTTGATCAATTTTTAAAATACTCAGATAATAAATTTTGAAAATAATCAGTTAAAACTGAAGAACAGGTCAGCCGCCATTTAAAAAAATGCGTTGAGGTTGAAAAATGCCATAAGCACTGAATTTATAAGAATTTGTAAACATTTTTGCATTTGTTTGGAGCTTGTACTGTTCATATCCATGTCAATGATTGATTTAAAAAGTTTTTAAAAAAGGTGCTTAATAATTTCATATAAATAAAAATTTTAACATCCAACCATAGTCGAGACCAAAATCATCCCCTTTTTAAAATTTAAATTGACTAACTAATATAATTTTACGATAGAGTGTTATTGAAAATGCTATAAGTAAGTGTTTATATAAATTTAATATTTTCATAAATATTTTCAAATAATGTAAAAAGATGTAGCAATGATAGAATGTAGGTATGCTAGTGTGCTTTTTCAATAACTACATAGCGATATAAAATAAATCATTTATATTTTTTGAACTTATTCTAAACCGAACGATTTCTAGATTATAGTATATATGAGCGCTAAATTACTTCAATAAATAATTAAATACTAAAATTTCGATTAATCAATAATGTACTATTTAAACATGAAATGGAAATGTTATGAAGTGAAGCTGTTTATGTGATTAGTAATCTGTGAATATAAAATATCTTCTAATATGCACAATTTAACATTTTTTGGAAATGATAACATCCAAATTGGAAGTTTATAGGAGTGCATTAAATAGAATAAAAGTTTTGTAATTATGAAATATGTCATGTACGTGAACTGAATTTTGATATTGTAGTTATAGTAAAATGAAAAGCTATAATTATATAAAATAATTAAATGGAGCAAACTTGTGTTTTTTTTAACTTCCTTTTATAGTTTCGATGCGTTTATTTGATTTTTCTCCTTGTTTTAAGTGATTTTAAATAGTTTCATACAAAAATTGAATAATGTATAAATGTTCTTTGCAAAAAGGCTGCATTCACAAATTTAAAAATCAATAAAAGTATTTATTTGTAATTCCATGTTGAAATTAATTTTAAACTAAATATTTTAAAATTTGAATATTTGAAAGATTTCAATTGTTGTTATTATTTATTGATCTCACATGAAAATCTGCTGAAGCTATTACGAATTAACAGTTTTCAAAATTTCTAGAACCTGTTAGAATATATCATTTTGTTTTTTTTAGTAATTTGGCGAATGCATCGATGTTTCTAGTTCTTTTATACTCACGATTAACTATTCAAATATTTATATTTTCAACAGAATTTCTACAGATTTTAAAATGTTTCAACATGCTTTAAAAGATCAAATGAAAAAAGCGTGATTTGATAATCTGTAAAAGTCGGGCAAATTAATTCTTTGTATTATATTTAGTAGATAAATATTTAATTGATTTTTCTGTTATAAGCCAATTTTAGAAAAAACGATACGTTCAAGATAATATAATATAATTTCATCCTTTTAATGTTAATATAGAAAAAAGTTGATTCATGGATGGAAAAGAAACAAACAAAAGAAACGAAAATAAAAAACATGTAAATGAAATAAAAGCGAAAAAATATAAAAGTAAGAATAATAGAAACAATTATATTGGTGTTTCTAGAAAAAAAAATGCATGTGGGCGCTGAGGACCCCAGGGCCGGCCCTTTATTATATATATATATATATATATATATATATATATATATATATATATATGATTTAGTAGTTAATTTTGATGTTGAAATATATGAGTGAGTTCTTGAGGGCGATACATCAAACAAAGAAAAGCCAAAGATTTATAAAATAATCTTTATTTCCAAACGTTTCGACATTCAATTTAATGTCATCATCAGTGGATCTAAAAACAGTATGAAAATTAGCATATCTAGGTAATTATAATATATGTGGATTGGTAAAGTAACTATACAATAAGAGAAAAATTAACAAACAGCAACACTTAACAACAAATCAAATATAAAAGATAGGAAAGGTAGTAGAGACTAGAATTAAATAAATAATTAAAAAGTATAGG